CTTGCTCTCTAGACCCTTGATCATTTTAGTCGCCCTTCTCTGGACACACTCCAGCTTGTCAACATCTCCTTTCAACTGCGGTGCCCAGAATTGGACACAATGTTCCAGGTGTGGTCTGACCAAGGCAGAATAGAGGAATAGCATGACTTCCCTGGATCTAGACAATAGACTCCTATTGATGCAGGCCAAAATGCCATTGGCTTTTTAAGCCGCTGCTTGACATTGTTGGCTCATGTTCAACTTGTCCATGAGGACTCCAAGATCTTTTTTACATGTACTGCTGTCAAGCCAGGCATCCCCCATTCTGTATCTCTGCATTTAATTTTTTCTGCCTAAGTGGAATATCTTGCATTTATCCCTGTTGAACTTCATTGTGTTTGCTCTTGAACTGTTTCAACTGAAGTCTAAAATAAGATAAGTTAGATACAATATAGACTACTTAATCTAACATTCAATACAGCAATATTTACTTCACATGAGTATTGTAATATGATCTAAACTTGGAGATGAGAAAAGTGAAGTGAAGTGAAGAAAATTACTTGATTTGATATTCCGGAAAGCAGGCAAGCAAAGCTTTCAGATCCTCCCATAGGTGAAAAAGCTCTTTTTGAAATGGCTATACACAGTTTCTTGTATATAGTGAGTAAAATATTACTTTAAATTCTGCTAGTATTTTGCCTTACACAGCAACATTTTGTATGATTACTCAGAATGCTTCTTGAGCTCGGAGTAACTTTCTAATGAAAGGGAAGCAATTACTGTTTTAATTCAATTCCCATGCATGTTTACCTGGAAATAAGCTTCCCTATGCTCACTTGGACCTAATCTCACACACAGTACATATGCAGAAGACTACAGCTGTCCAGGGGTATCTTATATTTAGCCTGTAGAAGAGAAGGCTGAGACGAGATGAGGGACATGTGTAAATATTTGAGGGGAAGTCATAGGGAGGAGGGACCAAGCTTGTTTTCTGCTGCCCTGGAGACTAGGACACGGAGCAATGGCTTCAAACTATAGGAGGAGATTCCTCTTGAACATTAGGAAGAACTTCCTGACTGTGAGAGTTGTTCAGCAGTGGAACTCTCTGCCCTGGAGTGTGGTGGAGGCTCATTCCTTGAAGGCTTTTAAGATGAGGCTGGATGGCCATCTGTGATTTTCCTGCTTCCTGGCAGGGGGTTGAACTGGATGCCCCACGAGGTCTCTTCCAACTCTATTTGTTCTCTGATGTCTCATTGTAACAAATGGGATTTACACTATGGCAAACATGCACAGAAACTGCACATATTTTTGGGAGAAAGTTACACTGTTTTTCATGGAGATTACTTCCAACAAGCATGTGAAAACAGTCAATAAACCACTGCTTTGAGTTGGTAAGGCTCTTGGAAACCTCTTGTTCATAGGACTGTTGTAAAGTGAAACCAGCTTGATGGCATATAATAACGACAAGAAATCTCATTCAAAACATTAAAGATACACAGGGAGGCAAGTCTGTTTTGTATAATAGCTCAAAGTTCTTCCTTTCTTCTGAAGCTTAAAATATTTAGACTAAATTATAGGTAGATGGCTACATTATACTCATTATCGAGGAATTTCTAAGGATCTGAAATATGCAAAAATATGTCCTTGGAATGCAATAGCTGAGATCCAAAGCAGTGTGCATGCCAGATTTATACATGCACTAAACAATAACCCCCTCTTTTTAATGAAAGAGGAACTTCAAAATCCATCAAGAGTCAAGAGACTGTGGCAATGAGGGAAAAAAAAACTAAACAAGGAAAGCCCAATCATGTGTGGATAGCTCCTCCTCCCATAGCCAGAGAATGCCAGACGCACTCTGTCTATACAAACAGAAATGACTTCACTGGACAATGACGAGTGTTTTTGGGAGCTTCATTCCATCACACTGCATCACAAAGGACAAGGGCAGCAAACTGTATATATACTTACACACTTCCTGAATTCAATGTCGGCCTACTTATGGGTCTATGTTCAGGATAAGGGTTGAAGTGATTGTTCAAGATTGGCAGCTCATGTGTAGTTTCAAAAGAACACATCCTATCTCGCATCCTAAAACAATGATCGGTATGAATTGTCGAAGGCTTTCATGGCTGGAATCACTCAGTTCTTGTGGGTTTTTTCGGGCTATATGGCCATGTTCTAGAGGCATTTCTCCTGATGTTTCGCCTGCATCTATGGCAAGCATCCTCAGAGGTGAAGTATGCTCAGTATGATCGGTATGCTCAACACGAAAAAATGTTGAAAGTCAATTATTGTATTTATCCTTAACAAAATAAGTAAATGCATTTGTTTAATTTTAAAGAATATATTTAGCTTTGGGTGAAAGCATACCATTGCTTACTAAATCAAAACTAGGAGTTCATACATAACCTCTATTATGTTACATGCAAAACAATAGTTGTATGGGTTACTGTGAGTTTTCCAGGCTGCACTGCCATGTTCCATAAGCATTCTCTCCTGATGTTTTGCCCACATCTATGGCAGGCATCCTCAGAGGTTGTCAGGTCACAGCCTCTGAGGATACCTGCCATAGATGGGGGCAAAACATCAGGAGAGAATGCTTATGGAACATGGCCATGCAGCCTGGAAAACTCACAGCAACCCAGCGATTCTGGCCATGAAAGCCTTCGACAACACAATGTGTTGTATCTTTCCTTGTCACCACATGAATGGGAAAACAAGGCTGGGCCCATAATGGTGAATGGAGTGGCTACTACTGTTCACAGAAAGTATCAGGAGGTTCCCAAAGGAGGAAAGGGTGGGAAGGCCATTTTTAAACTCCTCCCTCCTATTGCATTCCCTTGTGTCACCTCTCTTATGGAGGGAACCACAGATATATGGAGCAGCTTCTGAGGAGTCACAGGTTCTTTATAAAGATGGAGGAATCATAGAATCACAGAGTTGGAAGAGACCTTGTGGGCCATCCAGTCCAATCCCCTGCCAAGGAGGAGAAAAACAGCATTCAAAGCACCCCCGACAGATGGCCACCCAGCCTCTGTTTAAAAGCATCCTTCACCACACTCCGAGGCAGAGAGTTCCACTGCTTAACAGCTCTCACAGTCAGGAAGTTTTTTCTAATATTCAGGTGTAATCTCCTTTCCTGTAGTTTGAAGCCATTGTTCCACGCCCTAGTCTCCAGGGCAGCAGAAAGCAAGCTTGCTCCCTCCTCCCTATGACTTCCCCTCACATATTTATACATAGCCATCATGTCTCAGCCTTCTTTTCTGCAGGCCCAGCTCATGATGGATATCACCTTCCCCCTTGATCCCAGTGCAACTAGAACTCCACAAAGTGCTTCTCATAATCCTATCCATTGAATAAAAGTACTTTCCCCAATTCAAAGCACTGGTTATCAACAAAAGCATTCAAAATAGGCAGTTCTGAAAAGATGACATGCCAAATTACTTCAAATGTTGCAAGTCATTGGAGCCAGTGGAGGGAGCGGCTACGGAAAAAACATCAAAAACCCACTTCCGAAGCCTGATAGCAGTCAAAATATCAGAAAGAAATAAGGAAAGGCAGAAAGAACTACAATGCATTGCCTTCAGAAGTTCTGTATCAATTGTCAGAACTTTATAATTAAGTTCAGGAATTGGAGGGGTCAAATAACTAAGCAAAAACGGTGTTGTGGGCCCCATTTCCCATATAGGAAGAAGGTGATGACAAAAGCCACCCCAGACAATGATGTCACTGCAGGCAGAAACAAAGGAAGCTGAACTGAACTGAGGAACAGGAACAACCCTTTCCTTGGGACTTGAAGGGAGGCAATCCTGGCTCAGACCAGGACTTCCACAGACCCAGGTTTCAGAGGCTAAGTCCACAAAGAAACCATGGAGCCCATTAGGCCCAATCTGAAATCTATTTACCTGATCAACTTTCCCAACCAGAGCAGGGTAGTTAGTCTGAGGGTCCTTCAACACAGCCCTATATCCCAGAATATCAGGGCAGAAAATCCCACATTATCTGCTTTGAACTGGGTTATCTGGGTCCACACTCAAATAGTGTAGGATTTCCTGCCTTGATATTCTGGGAAATAGGTCTGTGTGGAAGGGCCCTGAGTCCACACTCAGATAATGTGGGATGTCCTGCCTTGATATTATGGCATATAGGGCTGTGTGAAAGGGCTCTGAATCCCCATTCAAAAAATGTAGGATGTCCTGCCTTCATATTCTGGGATATAGAGCTGTGTGGAAGGGCCCTGAATCCCCATTCAGATAATGTTGGATGTCCTGCTTTCATATTCTGGAATATAGGGCTGTGTGGAAGGGCTCTGAGTCCACACTCAGAAAATGTGGGGTGTCCTGCCTTTATATTCTGGGATATTGGGCTGTGTGGAAGAGCCCTCAGATAACCCAGTTCAAAGTAGATATTGTGGGATTTTCTGGGCTATAGGGCTGTGTGGAAGGGCCCTTTGTGCCTTTCTTATTGTTTCCCATTCCCCCCACTATTTCTGACTACCTTCTGAGAGCAGTCTTTCAAAGGGAAATTCGGGGAACAAAAAACATCAACACACTTCCCTTTTCAAGGCTGAAACGGGAGGAGCGAAAAAAGAAACAAAGAAAGTCTCCCTCCTCCTCCTCCTCCTCCTCCTGAAGCTGAGGCGGGAGGTTCAGCAAAGGGAAGGGAAGGGAATGGTTTGGGGGGCCCTGGTCCCATTTCAGACCCTCCTAGAAGGATGTGAAGAAGGAGAAGCCCTCAAAGGAGAGGCATTTTATTCTCAGCGTCGATGCATTTCGACGCCGAGCTCTTTATGAGCAGCCTAAAGACGTCAGGTCAGAGGGGAACCTTGCAAAACCAAAACAAAACAAATGCCAGGCAATGGCGCAAAGGCAGGGCTCACTGGGCTCTCTCCCCCTCCTCTCGCCCCTCTTCCTTCCCTCCTTCTGCAAAGGTGGGTCGGTGAGTCCCCACGCAGCCCCCCCCCTTGGCCTCTCCTTTGGGCCCCCGCTTTCCCTCCCCACCGGACTCTCCCCCAGCCCCACCTGATATGGCGGCGGCGGCTCTTGATCCGGCTCCGTCCCGTCCCCATAGCTGGCCCGGTCCGACTGGGATTCGTGCAGCAAGGAGATGTCATCCGAGGTCGGGGATTTCAAGCAGTTCCCCATCTCCCCCCACAAAAAGGGCAGGCAGGAGGGGGAAGGGGGCTCCTCTTCCTCCGGATCACAATCCCGGCGCAAGGCGGTGGAGACAGCTGCTGCTGCTGCTTCCCTTCGGCCTTCCTTGGGCGCTCATGCCCGCTCTCGGCATAAGCGGCTTAAAGCCCCCCTGGCTTGCCCCAATGACACTCCGCCGCCCTCTGAAGACCCCTTCCTCTCCCTCCCTCCCTCCCTTCGCCAGGAACAAAGGTCTGGCCCTTACAGAGCCTCCGCCAGAGCCGCGTTGGGCTCCCCAGCGGAGGGAAACCGAGGGGTCATGTCCAGGTCCACAAAGGCCAGCCCTCCTCGGCTCCCCCTGCGCCGCTCTCCTTCCTGGTCAGCAGCCCTCCTGCGCATTGAGCTGTGTCAGGAAGGCCTCTCTCTCTGTGTGTGTGCCTCTCTCTCTCTCTCTCTCTCTCTCTAGGCTCCTCCTCCCTCCCCTCCTTCTCTCTCTCTGACGCTCGCCTGGGCGACAGGCCCTGCCCGCCTCGGGGCCACCTTCCCTTCCAAGCCAAAGCAGAGGCTGGGCTGCCAATGCCCTTTCCCTCCTTCCGCCAAAGGACCCCCCAAGCCCCCTTCGCCTGGGACGAGGCCTCGCCTATCCAGTCACCCTTGCATTAGGTTGGCAAACGGAACAGATCCCTGGCAGGGCTGTGATTGAAATCCACAAGGCCAATTTCAACAGAAAGGGAAAAAAACCATGAAAATGAACAAAATCTGGCTACCAGTATTTTAAAAAATCTAAAATCATAACAGTAAATAAAGAACAACACTCAAAAACAGGGGAAATCCAGACAAGAAACAATCAGGGACTGCTGATCGCCTCCCAACAAAGGATTCCCCCAGACGGTAAGAAGCCAAACCTTGAAACTGCTAGGTCATTAAAAGTTAAGGTGGACAATACACATCTACATACTTGTGTGTTTGAGGTACATTCACATCTACCTCAAACATACAAGAGTTCTTTCTCCCATCCTAAACATCCCACAGATATTTAAATCCCATTTTCCTAGTTTCCAACAAACCTCACAACCTCTGAGGATGCCTGCCATAGATGTAGGTGAAATGTCAGGAGAGAACATGGCCATACAGCCTGGAAAACTCACAACAACCCATGGCTGTTATTGTTTTTGGGCAGCATGAGTCTACACCAGGCATGGGCAAACTTTGGCACTCCAGGCAGTCCCATAGCCAGGATAGCCAGGCAGTCCCATAGCCGGGGGGGGGGGGGGCTGAGTGAAAGAGGGTCTACCCTAGCAAACCTTTTGTATTATTACCCCAATACCCCCATGCATATGGGATATATTGAGTATGGTGATCAGATCATGATATGAATAAACATAACAGTTTAAATAATGCACCAGTAAGGCCTTCTCGCGGACCACCATGAGAATTTGGGGGGGGCTGAAGCCCCTCAAGCCCCCCCCCCCGGCTACATGCCTGACTCCAGGGGTTTTGGACTTCAACTCCCACAATTCCTAACAGCCTCAGGCCTCTTCCTTTTCATTTAAAGGAAAAGGCCTGAGGCTGTTAGCAATTGTGGGAGTTGGAGGGCTGAAGTTTGGCCATGCCTGGCCTACATTCACCAAATCCTAAGATCCTACTAATGCGGCCTATTCTCCCACTGAGGTAATCTCTCGCACAGTGGTTTCTCACACAGAGAGCTCTCTCAAACTGAGGCATTTCTCCCACTGAAGCAAACCAACAGAGGGGCCTACTAACCTACAGGCGCACCTGCTTATACACAACTGCAGCTTTTTTGCTGAATCATTACATCCATTTAACCATTTCAGTGCTTGAGTCACACTTTTGTAATCAAAAATATCTACCCAATTTTCAATATTTCTGACAAGCACTCTCGACAGACAGCCATCCAGCCTCTGCTCCAGAGGGGATTCCTAAGCAGGATATTCCATGGCCAAAGAGCTCTTATCATCAGAAGGTTCTTCCTAAGGTTTACGTGCCATCTCTTTTCCTGCAACCAGTTGCTCCATTGTATCCTGGTCTCCAAAGCAGCAGAAAACAAGCCCGCCTTCTCCTCGATGTGACATCTTTTAAAATATTTAACTATGGCTCTCATGTCAACGTCTTTCCTCCAAGCTAAACATCTTCAACTCCCTAACCCACTCTTCATAAAGCCTGGCTTCCAGACCTTTAACCATTTTGGTCGCCCTTCTCTGGCACACCTGTTTCGTGAGGGTTTTTTGGCAGCATTGAGCAGTGTTTCTCAAACTGTGCTCTTCCAGATGTTTTGGGTTTCAGCTCCCACAGTTCCCAACAGCTGGTAAACTGACTGGGATTTCTGGAATCCAAAACACCCGGAGGAGCAGAGTTTGAGAAACACTGGCATAGAGCATAGGCTGAATGCTGTTTGACACTTTAGCTGCCATAACTGAATGCTAAGGAGTCCTAGCAGCTGTAGTTTGGTGAAGCACCAGCACTCTTTGGCAAAAGGTAAAGACTTTGTAAAGCTGCAACTCCCACAATTCCAGAGCACTAAGCCATGGCAGTTAAAGTGATTGTAAAACTACATTAATTCTTAGTGTTCCACCACTAAAATATTGGGCAATGTATTGGCATGGGCTAATTCAATAACATGTTTAACAGGTATACTTGTCCTTTGCCTACTTACTGAAAAGAGGGGTCAATTTCAATGTGACAAAAGAGCATATTGCAGCATTAATATGACATGATGGGAGTTGCTTCCTCCTTTTAGGCCCAAGAAGATTACAATGTTGCATTGTTACACTTGCCTAGACAGGAAGGTCCAAGGAACATGAGTAAATGCAGCAGGGATTGCAGCATAAATGTAGCACAAGGGCTTATTTCACCTACTAGTTGTTGAGAGAAGGGGGTTGGATACTCTACGTCATGTGTAAAATCAAGAGGTGATCATTATTTATTAATTACTCTGAGCAATAGTATTACACTTGAAAAATATTTCTTTCTAAATGGTATTTAAAAAGTCATTGCCATGTTACCATGAGAAAATAAAATCAGGAAATTCTGTCTGAAAACTCCATAAACCATGAAATGTGTTGTGTAGCCAGCCATTCTGTGCAGCCTAACGATTTTAAACAAACTTAAAATTCTTAAAATATCTGAAATTGAATTTTTTTTTACTTGAGAAATTGCAAGTTGCTCCTGGTGCGAGAGAATTGGCCGTCTCCATGGATGTTGCCCAGGGGATGTTTGATGTTTTACCATCCTGTGGAAGGCTTCTCTCATGTCCATGCATAGGAAGCTAGAGCTGCGACGGGAGCTCACTCTGCTCCCTGGATTCGAACTGCCGACCTGTTGGTCAGCAGTCCTGCCAGCACAAGGGTTTAACCCATTGCACCACTGGGGATATAAATTTAAATAAATAAATGTAAATAAATGGGATGACACAACTTTAAATAAGTAAACAAATACAGACTCTCTTATAAAACACATGAAAATGGGATTTTATTTCTAAACTTCCCAAATAAACCAGACATGAAAATGGTAGGTACAACCATAAAAACCACAGCATGCCCCAGAAAGTAATACCAAAAACAAATAATCTGCTAAACAAGTTTTTTTTTAAAAAAAAAAAGTCTTATGGCATCTTAAAGGTTAATTAATATTATGAACTACATGGTGAAAAGGATTGCATTAAAGTTTAGGAAACAGAAATGTTTTTGTCATTAGGGTGCCCCAAGATTCACCTGAGCAGGAAAAGCTGGTTGGAGAGGATTTCTTTTATCTGTCTAGATTAGGGGATGGGAGAAAGCATTGCCAGAAGGAAGGCATTTCCTTTGCCTGGTTAGAAGCGAGTGTGGGGGGAATCTTGGAAGTTTTTGAGTGGTCATTCTAAGGATTTGTTTCATCTGCTTGGGTCAGTGAGTTATGATGATGTGGAAGCAGAAGAATAACACTAACAATCACAAAAGGAATTACTCTCCTAAGCCAATTACAATAAAAAATATGAACTTTGTGGTATCTGCTTATCACCAAGAGCTCAGTGGGAAAAAGAAATTGCTACTTCTCACAAGAACATTGTTGCTTTTTTAGTGCAGCTGGTTACTGTACAGATGTGCTACCTCTTCCAATGTGCTCTTTTTATCTCCTACAGAAGATACATCAGGTGTGCTCCCACCCTTCCCCTTTCCAAATGTGCCTTTTCCACCTGGGAATCCTGATAGGAAAAGCACAACAGAATGAAGTTTTTGCTAACTGCTCTCTATCTACATGCTCTTCTGAAGTTGGCTCTCCACATTTCCAGGTTTGACTTTTGCGGATTTGATTAAAATATTATTTTCTAGTAATCTCTAGAACTTTCAGTGTGATTCTGTACTCAACTTTCAGTGGATGTTGATCATAAGAGTTGTATTGAGGAACCTAGAGGCCCCTAAAACGTTGTTCAATAGTTTTTAAAGGGTTTTTTTTTTCACTTTCTCAGGGCTCCTGTGCCCTTAACCAAACAAATGTGGAAGGTTCAGTAGTTGCTCTCTCTTTTGGTGTCTCTGGAAAGTATTTGCCTGGAAAAATCTTGCCTGGTTTTTAATGCTTTACATACCTCTAGTATAGTGAGTAAAATTTCTCTTTGTGACTACTTCAGCTCCACCAAAAGGCATTATCCTATGGAAATGGCTCCGCAAATTTACGTAAGTCTGTTTACATTGCAAGTGCAGGATTGCAACCCAATAGAAATTGAGACCCACGTATATGTAGAGGTAGAGAGGATTATGTTGCCAAACACTTTTACACTCTGCATAGAAACAAGTGAGCTGCTAGATCCTCTGGTTCCAGGCATGCATAGAGGATGCCTTCTGTGCCAGTCCACAGGAGATGAATAAGAACATGGCAGACTAGAAAATGAAAGATTGGAGTTACTGTGAATGTTCATTCTGGGATGGCATGAAGAGCAATACACCACTGCTAGGATCATGTGCCAAACCCGATCAGCAACTGCTGGAGTTCTTTTCTGGTGTTTTTTTTTTCTATTAGAGCTCCCCACTTTTCCCATCAATTTTTATTCCCTAGCACTATCCCAACTGACTAACTCTATTTAACAATTTATGTTACAAATCTTTGTGGTATTCAACAAAACTGATTTTTAAAAACAATCTTTTAAAACCCAGGATGGGTATGTTTTGCTCCTCATGGCATCCCAGAATGAACCTTTATGATTCACCCAATCTCTCATCCTCGGGGTGGTACAAGGAGCAATTCACCACTTCTGGTATTTACCCACTTATTCATCTAGGTAGGCACAACCTACATTACAGATTGTAACACAGTCCTGCCAAAGCTAGTCTGCGAAAATCTAAACTTTAATTTGTAATGATGAACCAACAGTACTTGGCTCCAACCACCCTGCTGCTTCTCAATCACCCCGCAATGAAGCCAATACTACATAAAACATTGTAGCTGCCATTGATCTTCTCAAACAAGGCCATGTCACTGTGGGAGACTTTTTGTCCTATGCTTTTTGGATAAAATGACACAAATAATGCCTCTGACTTCCTTAAGCCAGCAGTCCATTTTAAGTATATCTTTACAGCTCAACACATCAAGCTTTTGCCATTTTTTTTCTCCAAATATTTCAGCTTGCTGCAAAAACTAGGTATATATGCCCTCCATGTGACAATTTTCACCCCTCTAGCAAAAGAAACAAATACTGCAAATACTATGCACATCACTAATAGTTACAGGTAAGTAACCTGTCTTTCATAGATGCAGTTCTCAGTTCCTGAGTGTCTTGAGCTTCAAATCTGAAGCGGATCAATTCCACCATTCCAGAGATCCAAGGGACAATCTTCTTTTCATTACCTTGCTGCCCCTCAGCATCAACATCCTGCAACTTAGCAGAGGGACTGCCAAACTTGAAATTGGCTGACCCTCCATGCCTAAAGTATTGCTGCTATGAGTGTTTTGTCCAAAGACACTCTTGTGCAACTTTATCCTCCTCCTCCTCGCAGTTGTTCCCATTATATCTTTACCTTTCAATTTAGAAGAGGTTAACTTTGAGAAAATACTGATTTATCGTTGACACTCATCTGGTCAACGATAACAAATGACAGATGGGTATTAACCACCATAACAAAGGAGTATACGATACTTTGATTGCTTACTTCCAACAGGTTGTCAAATCGTTATCACTCCTACAGAAGGGCGTAATAGAACCAGTCCATCCAGAAGACATACCCTGATTATTTTTCTCCTGTTACTTTGCTGTGCCAAAAAAGGGGTCCTTTGGTCCATAATGAATCTCAGAACTATCAACACCTTCATCACCACTCATAGCTTTTGTATGATGATTGTGTCCTTCATCCTCCCACAACTCTGCTGAAATTGGTTCATCATTCTCGATTTAAAGAATGCCTAATTTCACATTTCAATTCAACCATGCCACAGACATTTTCTCACCTGTGTTGGCAATCAAACATACCGGTTTAATATACTACCACTTGAGCTTGCCGCAGCAGCCAGTGTTTACAAAGTGCATGGCACCAGTACCAACATGGTTAAGAAAACTGGGAATTTCCCTATATCTCCAATGTAGGAAATTGGCTACTTGTTTGCAAGCTCCAGGACCCTTCTGCTCCAGGGTATCAAAATTGCTGGAAACCGAAAACTTAGTTTAATTCTGAACTACAAGAAATCCTTGCTGGTTCGGACTCGCTCCATCTTCTTCATCATCACTATATTCGATTTTGACGCTTGAGACAGCTTTCCTCCTCAAGGACAGGGTTCAAACTCTAAGAACTTTCATACTTCGAGGCAGATGACAAATATTCTCAACCAGGGACATTCAAACAGTCTTGGGATACCTCACCTTGACTACTGTGGTCACGGTCTTTGCCCACCTATGCACATGGCCCTTTCAAAATTGGCTTCTTTGACACTTCAGTCCCCTTCGAGACTCCCAACTAAAACTCCTGTTGATTCCTCAAACTGTACTTCACACTCTCATCTGGTGGATTGTTCGAGACTATGTTTGTGTGAGCACCTTGTTCAATTCCCTAACACCATCTATATCAATTACAATGGATGCCTCACAAAACCCTTAAAGCATTCAAGACAATGGTCAATTCCTCCACAAGAACAAGTACTAACAATACAACCACCATGTATATCAAGCATCTTAACCTTGATGTCCTGACCCCATTTGGCGTCCTGTAACTAAATCTGGGGGCTGCAACTGGCACCTCTTGTGCCCCCTGCTTTTCTTCCATAAAAAAACCCAGAGGCAGGTGAGCAAAGCAGAAAACCAAACAGATATGGGGTTGGACTGGATGGCTTTTAGGGTATCTTTTCACCTCTACATTACCGAATTTATTTTTTTCAAAACCTTCAGTACCCTTCTGAGACCTTATGTCCTCTACCTGACTTTAAATATAAAGATATTTCTTAAATTGTATTTATGCTCAATTCGAGATTTGCTGTATTGCAATAATCTTGGGCAGCAGACTTTTTTTGTGTGTGTGTGTCTCAATCTACTGATTAGCTATCACAGAGACATAACTTTGTATGCTGTTCAAATCAATTGAATTTTAATTCTTTCTTCCTGATCTCCTATTTTGTCAGGTTAGTCAAGCAGGAGAATAAAAACTTTGAAGAAAAGAATGCACACTCCTACTGAGCACGTTAGGCATGTGGAGAAACCCAGCAGTGGTGGATTGCTCCTCATGCCATCCTGAGAATGGGAATATGTATTTACAAGATAATTGGTTTGCAGCTAAGTTTACTGTTCGTACTGTGGGGTTTCTTACTCACATACACTTTCCATTAGCCCTACATGCTCCACCGCCTTTCAGAGCACTGGAAAGCCCCCTACCAGCACAGATACTTCATACAACTTTGAACCTAGAGGACAACATCATTATCATAAATTCAAAAAATATATGGTACTGTACCGTTCATATGGGTTGATGCAACAAAACTACGAATCAAGTTAATAGTGCTTTATTATGGGGTTAGAAAGAAGAATCATCATTAGCCATGTTTTCCATGTCAGTAAAAATATCTTACCATTATGTCAATTTAAAGAATCGGAATTCAAAACATAAGTAATAATTGCCAAGTTTGAAAGAATTATCAATGTGTGGTAGGTTTATGTGAAGAACAGATAATAATAATAATAATCACCAAGTAATACCAAAAAGTCAAAGCACCATACTGTACCAACTGCCACTTGTCCTAGTATCTCATACTAGTACAACCAGTGGGCAGCAATACTCTGCTGGCACCAGATATTCACTGCTACTGCAAACAAGCAGATTTAACATAGCAGCTATTAAGCATGCCACCAGTATGAATCTAATGAACTCATAATTGTGTCCTTGAACTTTCTGTGTGATTTTAAGCAAGGTGGCCTTTAGACCATCCGCAATATGGCCATTGCTTAAAGTATTATTTATTTGAATCCCATGGACAAGTTGAGATGGCCAAAGCCCTTCTTATTAATGCTAATTATTAATATGGTGTTGTTCGTGTTAGAAACTGCTTCTTTATAACGGTATTATAATAAATAAGAGTAACAGCTACAAAAATGTGCTGCTTTATTCTGATAAATTTTTAAAAATTCAAATAGATGCCAAAAATCATCAATTCATCCAAATTTACTATTTTATAGCAGTGAAAGGAAAATACAAAAATAGACATGTCAAACCTTGATAACAAAATAATTTCCTCCTCATACCCAAGTTACAATATCATTGAATATATTTAGTTAATTTAATTTCTAAGAAAAGATGTTGCCAAATATGAATAAAACATTTAAAGCTGTTGAGACATATTCCTACTATTCAGGGACTTTCAATTTCTTCATTCACATGTATGCATATTTGTTGAAATAATTGGTTTTTTGGAGGATATTTGGTTTATTATTTGTAAGTTTAAAAATATTGAATGAGACACATGGATACTGATCATGGACACTTATAAAGACGAGTCAATGACCGAGATACATATGCTCCTCTACTAGAAGAAGGCCTTATGTCATTTTCAGATTTTGATTTTGAAATGGATTCTCCCTTTACCTGCAGAACATCACTAAATATACACTGTTTTTGAGTATGACATCTTGGCTGAGTTACAACAGGAACTATTGCTTTTTCTTCTGGGGTAGTGGTAGGCAGATTTGAAAACTGGTCTTCTACTGTGATTTCGGCTACCAAGTAAGGTTGTGAAGAATCTGTTGTTTTCTTTGGCTGTGCCAATATATCACCAGAAGTACATTGTTCCTGATGACCACGTAAAGAGTCTGGCTGAGGTGTAACAGGAAACATTTCTTTTTCTTTTGGGGTAGTGGCAGATAGATTTGAGACTTGATTTTCTACTGTGATTTCACCTGAAAAGCTTGGTTCTGATGAACCTTTTGTTTTCTTTAGCTGTAATAATAAATCACCAGAGGTACACTGTTCTTGGTTATCATGTGAAGATTCTGGCTTAGGCACTGATTCTTTCTCTTTTAGAGTACTATTAGATGGATTTGTAAAGCGATTCTCTCTTTTAATTTCATCTGATGAGGAAGGTAGTGAAGTGGAAAGAGCACCTACATCATCACAGAATGATCTTATGCTTTCACTGGACCGAGAAGGAAACACATACGCTCTGGATTTTAGAGTCAAACCATGATGATCATGTGACATTTCTGAACTGTCTTCTGAATCAGAGTTGTCATATATTTGTTTTACAATAATGAAATCAGATTCCTTTATAGAGTAAGCTTCAGCAGCTGTAAAAAAAGGTTAGTATTGTTAATTAGAAATAGTTATATGTATTTATTTTGAACAAAATTTTACTGATTCACACATATTTTTTTAAAAAAAAATATAGATAGTCTGCTTTTCCTGTGCTACAAGGCATTATTTATTTTATTTGTATAATAATATGTATCTCACATCACTGGCTCTAACAAAACAGTAAAAAAATCAAATCATATTATAAGGATAAAACACTGAAACAACAAAATGAGTTCAACTGCTTTAGCAACAACACAGCAAAATGAAAATGGCTTGGGTCTACGATACCACTGGTAACACCTATACCTCCCAATCAAGGCCTTAAGGCAGCAGCAGATCATTTATTTGGAAGGTTTTTTGTGGACTCCACGGCAGCAAGTGACCATAATTAGAGATCCCAAACTACACTTTCAATCTGGGCAGAAAACACTTTTAGTTATACAGGAAGAGTAACTTTTTGTATCTTTATACTGGCCTCAGACACCACAATTTACAGAGTAACTAACATTCTTTTTCTTTAAATGTTTAATTCACATTGCTGCATAACGTTAACTTCCTTTCTTCTCGTTGCCCTCATTTTCTAATTCTCTCATAATTTCCTATCTACCTCTCTCCACACTTTCCTTTGTTCTCTTTCTCCCCACCTTCCACTTTGGAAGCCTTTCTACATGTTCTAAAGACCAATTTGCTGCAAAGCTTGGAGACAAGACAGCCAATTAACCCTTCTGTCACCTGTATACATTTATGCTCATCCATGTTTTTACACATCATCCAATATAAAAAGTTTCTGTATAAATTTTAATTGTGAAGTTTTGTTACAATTAATCCTAGTTATACAGTAAACTACAGTACAAAACATACAAAAAGTTTCTCACAAGCTTTTTGTTTACATAAAGCTGTAAGCCAGAAGAGCATGGACAATCGATATTGAACAAAAGCCATGCAGACTAAAGTCACAGGTAACCATAAAGTGTTGATTGAAATAGTGTTCCATGCATTCTGAATACAGCTCTATATTGGGAACAATGAACACATTGAGAACACAGCTCTAGGAACAATAACTATTCAGTATTCTAACTTAAGAAGCTTCTTGTATCAGATCTTTGTGTGCACTCAGTCAACTTAAAATCTAATTATATCTTGAGGACACTTGACTATGCAGTTCCTCAATAAATTGAATTAGTATCAATACTGGCAAAATGATAGTATGAGCTATGTAAGAGGAGCTATGTGACTGGTTTACAGATCTAGCACCAGAAACTACGAGACCTGCTCTAGGCAATGGATGAAATAATCTGAAATCGTCACTGCTTCGTTTGTGCAATTTAGATTCAGCAAGAAAGTTAGCACGCATGCCTTAAACCCCTTTGGACAAAGGAAGATTACACACAACTAGATAAAATTTTATGTATTTAGTTTACATTTATATCCTGACTCACATATCCTTACTATTAAAATATTATACAGATTGTGTCGTGTGTATAGTATACAGGCAGTCCCCGAGTTACAAACATCTGACTTACAAACAACTCAGTAAAGAACAGGAGTGAGAAAACAGGAAGTGAGAGAAATTTACCTCTAGAAAGGGAAATTCACTTCTGGAAGAGTTATCATGGAAAATAGGTATCTCAACTGAAGCTTTATTTCCAATCCTAGTTTCCAAAACAAACCAAATTTTTCAAAATCTATTATGGGGACAGAAAGTGAGGTGAAATCTTCTGAACAGGGACACAGACAGCAAAACAAACACTACAGGTGTGTTAACCTTTCCATATGCTATCCAAAGCTTACACACACACACGGCTGGAGTTATACTTAAAAATGTACCTGTTGTGACTTACAAACAAATTCATCTTAATAACAAAACTACAGAACCTATCTTGTTCATAACTTGAGGACTGCCTGCATTGTATGGCTAGACAGACATTTTTCAGGTTTTTCTCATCTTGTATTCTTTCAAGTATTTGAAAAAAAAGTTTCTGATAGTACAATCAGATGTATATATAACCAAATAGGATATGCACCTTTATATCAATACTATTAAGAACACTCAATATTTAAATTTGTGTTAGCTGAGAATGTGTACAAGATAATTTAATTGCAACAATTAAGCCAAAATATATTAAGATCTAGTTATACTGAAAATTATTTTGGAGCTTATGTAATTACAGTTTACATATTTACTCCCTTTAGTTTGTAAGGGCTTTCAGCCCATTTTCAGTTTGCAAAAAATAATTACCTGTCACTGATGCAAATGCTGTCTGATTCCTCCTTGATCCCTAGCACAAATAAATTAAAAACAATCAAAGCACTGATACTATCATTTTTAAATTCAATAGATAACACAATTCTAACAATTTTAAAACCAAAAGAGGAAATTGATCCTAACTCCTATAGACTAATTACTTTATGTAATGTGAATTATATAATATTTACAAAAATTATAGCAAACAGATTCAAAGAGATAATGGCCACTTTAACTGAGGAAGACCAGTACATTATTAAAAAATAATGATTGCTGACCAGTCAGAAATATTCTAAATGTAATTGACCACACAACAAGAGAGAAGGCAAAATTACTCCTAATAAAACTAGATGTCTATAAAGCATTTGAAATGATAAATCACAACTATTTAGCCAAATTATGTGAGGAGTGTAATTTGGGGATAAAGATGTTTGGAGTGGTTAAATAATTATACAAAGAAAATCAAGTAATAGTAAACTAATCTACTTCCAGAATCATTAAAATCAAAAGTGGAACCAAACAAGGCTGCCCCCTCTCTCCACTACTTCTCGCTCTAGCGATAGAACCTTTAGCCATTTTATCTTGTCTTTCAACAATACAATAAAAGATTCTATTGAACATGTTATTGTTTTGTTGGAGAACCAACATGATACAGAGATTTAAATGGACTATGATTACGGAAACAAACGTTGGGTTTTCCACTCAGCCATAAAATTGAAATGGGTAACCTTGGGCAAGCCACGCATTCTCAACCCCAGAAAAGTCGTTCACCTTAGGGTTACCATAAATTGGAAACAATATGAAGGTAAACCAACAACAAAGTTTTTAGTTACATATTGGCACTAAAAATATTACCATAGAACTGTAGCCAGATATATTAATGAAATAATCGTTATTTGTTTCAGTCCAGGTAGGTTTTTTTTTATAAAGCTGACACAAATTACACACTTCCAGTCTTAAGTCACCTAAAACATATGTATAGCAGTTTTCTTGGCTAAGATGGGAAATAATTGTGTGGTTCATATTAGAATTAACACATGATGTTTTGTTGGCTCAGTGTATCCATGCACAAAAACTGTCAATCTCCAATCCCAAGATAAAGGATGAAGAATATAATACAGCTGTTTCTGATCCCAGTATGGCTTCTTATTGTCATCAATAATCCACTGGAAACTTCCTGGCTTGGGTGTTGCATATCATACAGTGAGCATCATGTCATACTGTACAAGCAAAGTGTAATACTCCACTTGGGACTGTTACATGTGGTTCCCTCCATCCATAGTCCTCACCAAAGGAAACGTCAAAAGTTGAAAACACATTTCTTGGGAGAACCTTGACAAGATGGCCTTATGAAGGCTCCTCTCTCAGTAAGCTCCCAAGGGAAGAAACCACCACCTACAGTAAACTACAGTCAAGGGACATCTCCAGCAGGGGAAAACTGCTCTTTAGGAAAATTTGGAGGTTGTTCTTATTTTTACTTTGATGTCTGGCCGTATCACAGTGACCTGCAAGGCCCGTAAGGACTATGAACAAAAACCCACATGCATATGGTCTGCTGCCAAGCAGCTCCAAGCAATGTCAAATGCCAGTTTTTAATGATGAAACTGAAGAGGTACCTTATGAGAAGTTCTTTATCTAATGCCTAATTATTCTCCCTTCTGGACCTGCATTATTTTAGTTATCTGAGAGGCGTGAGTAAAAAAAAACGAGCTGAGTTTTAATGAACATAAATCAACAAAGCCACAGTTGCAAGCGGCTGTAAGAAGTGACTGCCCTACTAGCATCCAAGAACTGAAAAATAGGCCAACAAAACTTGGAAGGGGGGCAAAATGATGACTAGGGCGACTAAGAAGAAATGCCTGTCCAATTTTTAGAAAGACTGGGTTCACTTTATTACTTTGTTATAATGTTCATGGCATTTGTCAATTGTGAGATCCATCAATTAAAAGACTGTCATTAAAAATAGAAGTGTGACGATATAATGTTTAATGGAGAAAATAAGAGATATAACAATCAGATAGTGAGAGGTTAATACTGGGTTTTTTCTATTAGTTTTGTATTTGTGCAAGTGTGTTTATTCATGTGTTTCCTTTCTGTGTTTATGTTCTCTACTTGGGTGCTTAGTTGTGTTGAAACTGTAGTAGGTTAAAGTAGATGTACAGTCTTTAAAACATATAAACTTAAAAACTTATTTGTATGTTCTACTCTTGTGTAACCATTTTTTTTTGTTTTTCTGAATAAAAATATTTTGAAAAAAGAAAACAGAAAACATTGCTTGGTTGGGTGCAGGTGGAAGAAGCCTGGCTAAAATCCATTTGAGATCCAGGAAGACAATGACAGTTTTCCCCCCTGGGTGGACATCCATCACCTTTCTCCCGTCAGTAAATGTTCATGGAAACATGTTCCAGTCCTTTGAAGCTGTGTTTTGGCAGGACAGGGGAATGTTTCTCAAGCAGGTATTCAATAATCCCTTCCACAACATCCCCAAAAGGAAATAAATTGGCATAATCCCAGATTGTGTATGTTATCAAATTGATGGACCCAATATGTTAAAATGTATTCTGTGGTTTAAGTTTGTTTTTGTTTTTTACTTTACTATATGCATATAAAATCCCAACATTGATAAGGATCAGAATATGTGGAAGATAAATGTCTTGCCTCCATCTGGGTCATGTTTCCTGCGGTCCATTGCTGACAGCTACACAAATATAGTGAACTGGTACAAATATGTTAGGGACTAAGGCAAATACACCGGTTCTAAATTGCTGCACTAGGAGATATTCTAATAAATCTAAAGAAATGTAAAGTGTTTAAGATATTTCTAAAATATACTTTCATCCATACACAATTCTGTGCATAATACATTAATTTCCTATAAATATACAAATATTCTATTTTACCTGTGGTTGTGCTAAATGAAACCTTTGCGAAACAGAAATAGGTGTGGAACTTTGATTTTCAACAGGTTTTGTGTGTTTTTTTGATTTTCCATGTTTCAACATTATGTCAAAAAACTGACCAAGCTCCCTGAAAAACATTGAAAGCAACATCTATTAGAATACATGGCTGTGTGGTAAAATACAACAGTAAAGACAGTCCCTGAGTTACAAACATAGTTAATAACGGGAGTGAGACAGCACAAGGCCACAGAAATCTACCCCTAGGAAAGGAAATTCACTTCTGGAAGAGTTATCATGTGTCTCAACTGAGACTCTCTCACCAATCCTTGTTTCCACAAGTCATTTTTTTTTTCAAAATCCAATTATTACAAAAACAAAGTGAGATGAAATCTTCTGAACAGGGGCACAAACAGCAAAGCAAAGACCACATGGGTGTTAACTCTTCCCTATGAGATTCAAAGCTTGTGTGTGTGTGTGTGTGCAGCTGGAGTTACACTTAAAATGTAACTGTTCCAACTTACACACAAATTCCACTTAAAAACAAATTTACAGAACTTAGCATGTTCTTAACTTGGGGACTGCCTGTACTTAATGAAATATTGGTATCGCAACACTGCTTTATACAAGTCTAGAAGAGTAGCATTCTTCATAAAAGCCAGCAAAATTAACATGACCATGGTTTATTTATTTGTCGTGTCAGAGCAACCAGTCCATTATATATTACATTTCTAACAGAACAAAGCAAACAGACAGAAAAATACACATCTTGTGAGTTTGGTAGTTGGTTAAATGTCCTTTGACCAGTATCTGGCCACTTGGAGTGCTTCCGGTGTTGCTGCAAGAAGGTCCTCCATGGTGCATGTGGCAGGGCTCAGGTTGCATTGCAGCAGGTGGTCAGTGGTTTGCTTTTCTCCACACTCGCATGCCGAGGATTCCACTTTGTAGCCCCATTTCTGAAGGTTGGCTCTGCATCTCGTGGTGCCAGAGCGCAGTCTGTTCAGTGCCTTCCAAGTCGCCCAGTCTTCTGTGTGCCCAGGAGGGAGTCTCTCATTGGGTATCAGCCATTGGTTGAGGTGCTGGGTTTGGGCCTGCCACTTTTGGACTCTCACTTGCTGAGGTGTTCCAGCGAGTGTCTCTGTAGATCTTAGAAAACTATGTCTAGATTTAAGTCGTTGGCGTGCTGGCTGATACCCAAACAAGGGATGAGCTGGAGATGTCTCTGCCTTGGTCCTTTCACTATTGGCTGCTACTTCCCGGCGGATGTCAGGTGGTGCAATACCGGCTAAGCAGTGTAATTTCTCCAGTGGTGTAGGGCGCAGACACCCCGTGATAATGCGGCATGTCTCATTAAGAGCCACATCCACTGTTTTAGTGTGGTGAGATGTGTTCCACACTGGGCATGCATACTCAGCAGCAGGTAGCACAGCGCAAGGGCAGATGTCTTCACTGTATCTGGTTGTGATCCCCAGGTTGTGCCAGTCAGCTTTCGTATGATATTGTTTCTAGCACCCACTTTTTGCTTGATGTTCAGGCAGTGCTTCTTGTAGGTAAGAGCACGGTCCAGAGTGACTCCCAGGTACTTGGGTGTGCTGCAATGCTCCAGTGGGATTCCTTCCCAGGTGATCTTCAGAGCTCGGGATGCTTCTCTGTTCTTGAGATGAAAGGCACATGTCTGTGTTTTAGATGGATTAGGGGATCAGTTGGTTTCCCCTGTAACAGGCAGTAAGAGCACCTAGAGCTTCGGGGAACTTCTGTTCTACCATCTCAAAGCTCCCTGCTTGAGCGGTGATGGCACGATCAACAGCATAGATGAATCTCTCTGTCCCTTCTGGCAGTGGCTGGTCATTTGTGTAGATGTTGAACATGGATGGAGCGAGCACGCTCCCCTGAGGCAGGCCGTTCTTCTGTTTCCGCCATCTGCTTCTCTGGCCCTGGAACTCAACAAAAAAGCTCCTGTTTTGTAGCAGGTTTCCTATGAGGCGGGTGAGGTGGTCGTCCTTTGTGATATTATACATTTTTCTCAGGAGGAGGCGGTGGTTCACAGTATCATAAGCTGCTGACAGGTCTATGAAGACAGCTCCTGTGATCTGCTGCCTTTCAAAGCCATCTTCTATGTGCTGAGTCAGGTTCAGCACTTGCGATGTGCAGCTTTTGCCTTTCCTGAAGCTAGCTTGCCGTGGAATCAGACATGGGTCTATTTTTTCCGTAATTCTATGCAAAATAAGTCTCTCCAGAACTTTGTAGAGGTGGCACAACAGGGAGATTGGTCTGTAGCTTTTTGGGTCATTACGGTCTGGCTTCAAGATGGCGATGACTCTTGCTTTCCTCCAGATTTTGGGGATCTGACAGGATGCAGTGCAGTTGTTCATCAGCTCCAGCAGCCAGCGCCTTGCTTTGGGACCAAAGTTCTTGATTTGTTCCATCCGTAGATCATCCAGGCCAGCAGCTTTGCCATTTTTACATTTATTGAGAGCCATGTCCAATTCAATAGATGTAAAGGGTTCATGGAGGTTGTTGTTCTCAATCTCTGGTTGCCTGGCTATTGGTTTCTTTCCTACTTTGGTGGCAAGGTTGGGTTTCCCATTCTTCAAGAGTTGGTGTGCTATCTGATCTGCCTTTATGTTGGCGATGGGTATTAGTTTGTGAGGGGTCATTGCTCAGCCGTCTTAGCAACCTCCACGCCTTCTGGCTGCTCCTGCCCATGTCGACCTCTGTGATCAGCTTGATCCACTGTTCTTTCTTGGCTTCAGAGATGGAGGACACAATGCTCTGCGCTGCCTGAAGGGTTTGCTCACTAAATGGGTCTTCGTTGTGGAGCCTGTAATAGTTTTCCAACAAGGCAGCTGTTTCAGGAGTAATGCCCTGAAGGTAGTTGGTTCTGCAGCCTCTCGGTATGGAGGCCCGTGAGCAGGTTTTCACGATTTCAATAAAGTGCTCGTATTCCTCAGGGATTGGCGCGGCCGATGTGATTTAAATAATTCCACCATGGTCATGTTGGCCACAGAAGCGACCAACATGACCATGGTGGAATTGTTTAAATGTGCAAGAGACGTTTTTCTAGCAGGTAACACAGTGTCATGGTTTTCATCACCCACATGGTGAATGGCTGTGAAGACAGATTCTGGGTTCAGAATGGCAAAGTCTTTAAGGGGCTCAAAATCAAGATGAGATTGAAAACAAGTGAGGTTTCTTAAGGGTGATGCACAACTCAAGATATTGTAACAGACAATGCAAGCTGTGATACAAGAGACATTTGGAATAAACTATCAACAGCCAACCATTTCTACAGGGAAACATAGCTATTCTTTAGCTGTCAAAACTTGTAATAAGACATTGCCATGAAAAAACATATGGTACAGTTACTAATCTGAAGGGAAGAAGGCAAACCTGAAAAAGGTCAGTCCATGATGTGAAGAAACTTATAATGATGAAGACAAATAGAAATATGTAAATATGTTATTTTAAATCTAAGAAAGTATACTGGAGGAAAGTGAAGTAAACTGGAGAAAATAAACTTTAGTACATCTGAAAATGCTAAATTGTAATGAAAGACATCAGCTCTCCATATCCATGGGTTCTACACCCACAGATTTAACTGACCATGGCTCAAAATACTTGAAAAATTCCATAAAGCAAAATTTAAAAGCACATCAGCATAGCACTAGCAGTATGCGGGTGTGTAGTTATACCCTTCCCACCATTTCACAGATCCTTCAGCAATTACTTTGCCATTTTATACAAGAGATACCACTGTGCTATACCATTGTATATAATGTATATATATTCACGGATTTGAGTATCCACAGAGTCCTGGAACCAAGACCCAGTGGATACCAAGGACCCCAGTGTGATTCATGCTTCCAAGGTTAAAAAATAAGATGAAAGCAACATCTCTTTAGAATGACAGGGTACATGGAATAGTTTTTGCTCCTTTTAAAGACCATCATGTGTCTTCTTTCTCACTGATACCTGATTCTAAGCATTGGATATATGGTGGTATTAGAGAGATAGAATATGATAGGATATCTACTTTTGTGATATGATTATGGCTCTAACCATTGGCAGCATTTTAACACTTTTGGTGTTAAAACAAACCTGTTTCACTGAATAGCAAGTACAGCAATCAAGTTAGAAAGGTGTGGAGCTAAGCAGTTAACACTTTCACCTTTTTCCATAATGCAAGTGATCTCTAATACAAGGGGGAGATTGCCACAGAGACCTCACTTTTGCCTGGAATTGGCACTTCCTCCTCTTTCCACCCCCCACCCCCCAATGTATTGCTTTGGCCCCCTGACTGACATCATTCCAGGTGATCAGAGACAAACACTAGCCATACTGCACCTATTGGCTGCCACTAAAATGAAAATGGGAGGCAAACAGTAAGATTGGCCACCTAGTCCTGCTGGATGGTCAACACTTCTTCCTGCCTCCACAGTCGCCAAAAGGCTGGCAGTCAAAACCACCCTGGGTCTGATCTGGAATTCCACACTTCAGATCAAACCTAGGACAAAGTGTCCCTATAAAACTGCCTGAGTAACTTTCCTATCTTAGAATGGAGTTCCTATAATGAAACTATCAATTGTTTTTTTTTCCTCATTTGTGCCTTTGTACCTTAATCTCTAACCACTCTACATATTAAAGGAATTGGATTCCTGTTGATCACAACAACTGCTTACTGGTGAATGAAGATGTGCCAGATTTCACCCCTTGGCTAGTTATGGTAGTTATGAATTACACCTGCCCAATAGTGTTTGGGCCTTTATTTCTAACATTAATTTATTATTAAATAAATAAGAATCAGGATCATAAGGTGATGTAGCTGGGATCAATAAAAGGCTTTAAACATTATACATTCATCACAGTAATACATAAAAGCCATCTTTCAGAATATTTTTAACAAAAAGAAATAGTAAAACCTATTTTAAACCTACCTTCTTTTATCAAACAAGTAACAGCCTGTTAATACCAAAGCAAAGATAGCTATTCCAAAAATAGTAGCACCTGCTATAAGAGCAGAGGTTAAACGCTTCAGAACATCTAAACAGAAACAAATATTTTTACAGTTAGCATAGAAAAAATATTCAACATTTATTATACTTTGAATGTTAAAAAAATTAAAAATCTTTCAATATTCTCTTAAATACATATTAACAATTCTATATGATCAAATGGAATTCTGTATGCTCCATAGCAATTAACCAGAGTGAAGGAAAGCAACTTGAAGTGAAAGGATAGTTGGGATATAGTGACATATACTTTACGTATCTTCTAGTTTTACCAGCTCTTCCTCACTTCACCATATATATTTTTAAATTATACTACAATTCTATTTGTATTCAGAGGTAAGTAACACCAAAATGATGTATTTTATCTTATTTATAAATCAATTTATCAAAATGGTTTTGACCAATCAGCTGACAAATTAAATATTTATAAAGTTACACAAGACTAAATGCTTTTGAAACATTTTACACAATGCACAAGTAAATTGAATCAAGCATATCACAACTATTTCATCATGTGAAAATATGAAGTGGGGATACCCTTTCAATGTTGATGCCTACCATTTAGATTTGTGTAAATTATTTATACTTAAAACAATTAACATTTTTAAAATCTACTTGCCAATTAATTCGCAAGTCTTTTTTATATCAACTGAAATATTTTAACTTATACATCTAAGTATCCAATCTATTAATTATTGTAGCCTTTATTCTTTGAAAGTTATTCCTCAAAAAACACCATTTATATGTAGAAGAATCCCAAAATAAACCTACCTACAGGTACTGGTACAGTTTCTCCCTGTGCTGATCGTTTCATTCTTTTAACAACCAATGGACTATTGGAAATGTGTTTATAGAGATATGAAAATGTTGGAAACCTATTTTCTGTATCAAGATGCTTTCTTGTCATAAGTGTTTTCAGGCTTTTATGTCTATGTCTCTCCTGGGTAACATTAGAATATTTTTTTCCTCTCTGGGAGGACTGTATGAGATATTCCAATGTGTTCATCATAAGGACTGATGGTTTTGCTGGACTGACTTCTGAATTAAGTTTTCCATAGTATACTTCTATAGCTATCTTAATAATTGGAAAGACAGGATGTATTACAGAAGGTTGCATTCGTACTTTTTTCCATTTTCCAATTAGCCTTTTGTTTCTGTATATTTTTCTTTGAAATGTGAATATGTCATTTTCTTGAACATTAGACACAATGTTATGTGTTGAGGACATCATCGGTACATCACTATTTCTTTGATAAGTACATGCATGTACAAACAGAAACCTGTGGTTTTCATTCAAGTTTGTTTTTGTTAGTGTTTTCTGTTTCCACACCTTCATCATTTCTCTGATAGGAAAGCTTGTGATCCATTGAAAACTTTGACAGGATAACACATAATTTCCAAAATCCATATATTGGCCTTCTTTCTCTGAATTAACTTTTTTTCTATCCGTAAACATTCCATAATTAATTTTATCAAAAACATTTCTGTTTTCTATAGAACATTCTTTGCTATAATCTGACATTTGATCATTATATTGTTTATATTTTTTCATTTGTAACATTCCAGTGTTAATATGTCGTCTTAGCATTAGCACTTGTTTTAACTTTAATTTCATAATGCTTTCAAAAACTTCCTGACATTTTAGGATAGCATCTAATATAATATTTGCTTGAAGTGCTAAACAACTCAGTGATGACTCAGTTTCTATGTATTTATTTTCAACATATATCTGTGATTCCTCAATTATTTTAGTGTCAGGTTTAATTCTAACATTGACTATACTGTAGCACTTCATTTTGACTTCAAATCTCCTATTCTTCAAAACTGTATTCCACATGTTTCTTGATTGTCCTCCTTGAATATGTTTAATTGTTTTTGGATGCCTTCTTGAAATATGTGTGCTTCTCCTTGCAATTAGATATAAGTTTCTTCTATAAAGAATTACACATTTTAACATGTTTGTTTGTTGACAGTTCATATAATCATTTTTCCGAAGTACTTCTAAATTTCTTTTGAAAGTTTTCAAATCTCTGCTGCTCCTTCTCAATGTTGATTGATTTAAGATCACATTCACTGATGTTTTGAATGCACAATTTTTAACAGTTGTGATTGATACTTGTTGATACTTTTCTCCATGTCCTGCAACAAAGCAAACAAAAATCATCTTAAGTCCAACACTCAAGCATAAGGTTACCCCTTCCAGCAAATTCTTTAGCATGGGGTTTATCAACAGTTCACTAGTATTACTTTACAATAGTTTACATGTTTAACACTATTATGTTACTTTCTTACTTCATTTCTATCTTGCCTTTTCCCCCATACAGACTCAAGGCAGCTAATAACATGATACAACCTGATAACATTTTAAAAAGGTAAATACAACAATTAAAAAACAATTACATGTTTGTGTCATTGATACAAAATACCGTTAAAATACAATTAAAATTACATTTAAAAAATAGATATTCTCACAAAATCCCACCCACAACCTGTGACACATGGACCATCTACAAACATTACTCTCGGCTTCTGGAAAAATTCCATCTGTGTTTGAAAAATTCTGCAAATTTCTTGGGAAGACAGATAGACAAATATCAACATTCTGAAAGAAGCAGAGACCACCAGCATTGATGCGATGAGTTTCCACCATCAACTTTGCTGGACTGTCAATATTGTCCTAAATATGACCAGTCCATATCAGTCTGCTAAAGCAGTTCCTTTATTTTCAACTCAAGAACATAAAACAGAATATCAGTAGACAACAAAAGCTAGCTTAATGCTGAGAATCGGAAAACCCTGGCACTTAAACATTGTAAATGGAAGTCAGCTATTACCAATGGTGTTATGTATTTTGAAGAGGCATGAATACATGGCAAAAGGAAGAGCAAATTCAGCTAGAAAGACCATGTGGATGCAGAATATGTCTTCATAAAGAGATTAAATCAGTTCCCTCTTTAACCTCTTTTAAAGAACAACTAAAAGCTTTCTTATGCACTCAGGAGTATAAAGGCTTAGTATGTTACATAGACTACTCACCCTGGCTGCTGGTGGTAGTTAATTTTATCGTTAATTTTATAATTTATAATTTTAAACAAATTTTGCTGGTCTGGCTCCTCTGTTTTCTTGATGGATTACTATGGAATTGTAAATATTACATATTATAATGAATCTTATTTTTGGTTTAAATATGGATCTGTACGGGTTTTGGGTGGGATTGTTATTTGTCTTTCTTTTGTGTGGAATTTAATGTTTGCTGACTTTGCTGTTCACCGCCCTGAGTCCCTTCAGGGAGATAAGACAGTATATAAATAAAGTTTTTATTATTATATTATAGTCACGTACAGACCCACTTCCAAGACTCTACCTTTAGAAGACATACTTGGTCACAGGTGATCACCTATATGAGTGTAGTAGATTAAAAGAATTGGGCTGAGGTTTGGAAATCAAGCCCCACTGCATCATGAAAACCCACTGGGTGACTATTAACCTATCATTGTTTCTTAGTCTGGCATCTATGACAAGGTCTCTAAGAGGAGAAAGTGAGGAGGTAGAGAAGAACCACCATTAATACTTCCTTGAGTTTCCTATGCCAATATATTACTGAGGTCACACTAGTTAGAGCTCTTTCTGTTCCAGATACAGAATTCTGCTGTACTTTGGCCACATCATGAGGAGACAGCAAAGCCTAGAGAAGACAATTATGCTGGGGAAAGTAGAAGGTAAAAGGAAGAGGGGCCGACCAAGGGCAAGGCGGATGGATGGCATCCTTGAAGTGACTGGACTGACCTTGAAGGAGCTGGGGGTGGTGATGGCCGACAAGGAGCTCTGGCGTGGGCTGGTCCATGAGGTCACGAAGAGTCGGAGACGACTGAACGAATGAACACACACACACACTTGGAAATGTACCATCCAAAATTGGAGTGTAGAATACTACATTGCCAAATATATTGGTTACAGGAAATAAATAATTGTGCTATTCTTACCTCTTAATAATAGTAATCTGTCTCTATTAATTTGATTCAGGTAAGGCATCTTTATTATTATATAAAATGCAGAGTCTTAAGAAAACAGAGACATTATTTATTTATTTATTTATATTTCTAGGCCGCCTTTCTCAACCCGAAGGCGACTAAAAACATAATGCAGGGGACATTATAAAAATATGTTGGTCTGCCCATCAGAGCCACAGCTCCAAAGGCCATGACACCCAGATATGTGAAACTGAGTAAAATATATTTGGGGGCCTTAGGGGTATGCATCTCAGGATATTTTGACTATTTTTAACTTAATTATTATGTACCCATGTATTTGAAATCGGCAGGGTCATCTCCAGTCACTGGGTGGCAGACTTTACCAACCTATGTATAGCTTTGTATGTATAGTTTCATGACATGGATAATCCAAAGCAGAGAATCCTGCCCCAGGTACAAAGTAGGGAAAACATCACACACACTATGGTAGCAGGAATGCCTAGGAATCACAACAGTAGTGACTTAAAAGATGGAGCAGGCACAATGTGTCAAGTTTTGACGGCTGAATAATGATGTTTCATAGCTTGAGTGTAATATGTATTCTAACTAATGAGAATAATATTAATAATAATAATAATAATAATAATAATAATAATAGTGTTGTCTAAGACATTCATGGCTAAAATCACTATGTTGCTGTGAGTGTTTTGGACTGTATGGCCATGTTCCAACAGCATTCTCTCCTGAAGTTTCGCCTGCATTTATGGCAGGCATCCTCAGAGGTTTGTCCAAGGGTCTGATTCAGACATCTGAAAGGAGGGAATGTCTGATTCAGAAATTCAGGGACAACATTTGCAAGGGAAAAAAGAGGACCCAAACAGTCAGACTGATATCAATACCAGGAAAGATTCTGGAGCAGATAATTAAGGAGGCAGTCTGCAATCACATAGAAAGGAATGCCATGATTACCAAAAGTCAACATGGATTTCTCAAAAACAAGTCAGGCAAGACTAATCTTATCTCATTTTTTTGATAGAGTTACAAGCTTGGTAGATGCAGGGAATGCTGTGGACGTAGCATTTCTTGATTTCAGTAAAGCTTTTGACAAAGTCCCCCATTACCTTCTTGCAAACAAACTAGTCAAATGTGGGCTAGGCAATGCTACTATACTGTAATTCTTGAATCCCCCCCCCCCCCCCGCCGCCGCCCAAATCAAATTGTCCCCCTGTGGGGCATGTGCTTCCCTATTGAGAACCAGGGGCCTAGATAATCCTCTTCCAAGAAATATGAAGTTGCCCAACCCAAACAGAATTTGTTTTCCTGGCACCAATACAAGTACATTGTCTAATAATTTTCGATTATGATAAAAGAACAGGCTTTTGGACAGTCTACATGGTCAAGATTTTTCAAGTGCCAAATGGGAAATATATTTCTAATCAGCTAATTCTGCCAGAAATATATCCAAAACATAAAGAAGTCAACAGTTACTGTACGCAGATGATGCCCAATTCTACTACTCCTTTTCACCAGATAATGCCAAGGAAGCTGTGCTGCGCCTGAACCAATACATGGAGGCAGTAATGGGCTGGATGAGGGTAAACAAATTGAAACTGAATCCAGATAAGATGAAGTACTACTGGTTTCACACAGGATGGACTGTGGCCGTTCCTGGAAAAATCTGACCTGACCACCGTGGTTCCAGTCTTGATTACAACAAGCTTGGACTACTGTAATGCACTCTATGTGGGGTTGCCTTTGAAAACTATTCAGAAACAATTTGTTCAAAGATTGGCAACTAGGCTGATAATGGGATGAAATATAAGAGAACATACTATCCTACTCCTGAAACAGCTGCATTGGCGACCAATTAGTTTCCAGGCCCAATTCAAAGTTCTGGTTTTGACCTTTAAAGCCCTTCACAGCATCAGTTCAGACTACCTGAGAAGTCAGGTTCCTTTGTACACATCTCTCCCATTTGATCATTAAGATCAAATGGGAGAGATGCTGGTGTCCTCAAGCATCTGTGACACTCTCCATTTGAAGATTGCTAGAGACGGGTCCTTCTCGGGAGTAGCTCCCTCTTTGGAATGCCCCCCCCCCCCGGGAGATTAGATTGGCACACTCTTAGTTGTCATTCAGGAAGAGCCTGACAACCTTCCCTTTCAAGGAAGTCTTTGGAGGTAAGTAGTGATATTCGAAGGTTCAGAAGGCCGTTCGACTTCCTTATGTATTATCAGGGTGGTTTTTAATGTATTTATTGGGGTTTTAATTAGTATTTCACAGCATTTGCTAATATTTATGGTTTTAACTTGCTTTTAATTTTTATATTGTATGTTTGTACTGGCTGTAAGCCACCTTGGGCCCTTGACTGGGGAAAGGCGGGGTATAAATTTCATAAATAATAATTCAGAAATGGAGGCATAAAATCATGTGGTAATTTCCTGTGGATGACTTTGGGATGCCTCACTATTACAATGTGCTTTGTTCTCATATAATTAAGTTCTGGATGTTGTTCCTCTGTGACTTTCTTTGTGAAGCTATGACAAATGGCATCCATCTAATGCAGACATCCTGAAATTGCAGCCCTCCAGCTGATTGGGCCTCCAACTCCCAGAAGCCCTAACTAGCTAGTTCGATTGTCAGGAATTCTGGAAGTTGAATGCCCGAACAACTGGAGGGCCGCAGTTTGAGGATGCCTGATCTAATGTATTGGTTGGATGCCATCTAGAACTCCCTCCCCAACGAAATTAGGTCAGTGCCCTCTCTCCTGGCATTCAGAAAAGGGGTAAAGACATTGCTGTGGGATCAAGCCTTTGGGCAGGGAGCAATACAAGGAATGATCAGGAAAGGCTGTCATCAAACAGGTACCTTCTATCATATGTGGTGGCTATGCAAAGAAATAGAGAAATATTGGTCGAGAGAATATGAGACACAAAAAATCTTGAAGAGAGTTTTCAAGAAGAAACCAGAATACTATCTATTAGGATTTGCAGATTTGGAATTACAATTAGAGGAGAATGAAGATAGATTATTTACTTATATTACTACAGCGGCGAGAATATCTTTGGCGAAGTTTTGGAAGCAGGAAAATATCCCTACCATTGAAGACTGGTTAGGGAAAATAAGAGAAATGGATGAATTAACTTTTTTCTTGAAAAAGAATACCGGGAATCCGATAAAGAGGACAGATTGGACTCTATATGAAAACTATGATAAATAAATAAACAAATAAGAGGAACATTTAGAAATAGACATAACGAGAATATAATGGAGACACACCACCTGATGGAGAGATGGAAGTCAATTTTTATCTTATTTTTACTAATGTTTGTTTTTATTTTTCAGTGTACTTTTTCCACTTTTTGGCATTTTTTCTTCTTCTTCCTTTTTCTGGTTTGTTTTTCTTTTTTTTGAGGACCTGGGGGAGGGGGGGGGAGTTGTTTTGTTTTTGCTTTTTCCTACTTTTCTATCTTCCTCTTCTTATTCTCCCTCTTTCGATGTTATTTTCAAATACCTTAATAAAAATTATTTTTTAAAAAAAGGAATGATCAGGGATTATGTGCGATAGATATATTTGGAATGGCCTGGACTACAATTGCCAGTCATTTCCCCGCGTTTATTTACATGCTCAAAAGGCATGGAAGGGCAAGATTTGTCGAAGGGTGGTGTCAAATTCATACAGTTTGGTGCCAGTTTAAGGCTGTGAGGTCACGGGAGTTGTAGTTTGGTGAGGCACCACCTCTCTTCGGTGGAGGAAGCTAAAGACTGTGTAAAACTACAACTTCCAGGATCCCACAACAGTTGAAGTGGTCTCAAACCGGGCTGATTCCACAGGGTAGATGCACCCTACGGCCAACGGAGCCCAGACTACTAAAGCTTCTTCCTTTTCCTTTCAAAGTCGAGGGAAAGGCGGCGCCTGGCTCCCTGTAGGTAGGCCTCAGCCCGACCGGCCCTCCCCGGCTGGCTCTGCTCACCCGGCCGAAGCTCGCGCAGGCGGGCGAGGGTCAGGGCTGGGCGCCCCGTGGCCGGCACAAGAAGCAGCAGCGCGGCCATCGCCAGGGGAGTTACCATGGCTCTCCCCCGCGCGGCAGAGGTCTCTCCCGGGGCGCCATGACGGCTCTAACGGCTCCTCGAAGGGAAGGGCGACGCGAACGCCATACAAAATGGCGCCGGAAGCCCTCGCGACGGCTGTGGAGGCGCGCGCGCGCGGAGAAATTGGCGGGCTGTCGGCGCGCGGAGAGAGAGGGGGAGGGAGGGGGCGAGGCTGAGGGCGCGCGGGGGGCGGGGCGTCGCCTCGCGGTCAAGCTGTTCCAGAACGTTGGCACTTGTTTGACAGTGACGTCCGACCATTTGGAATCTGTGAAAGGCCCTCCGTGGTGTAGCGGGTTGAGCGGGGAACTTAGTAGGACCCTAATCGTCCTGGGTTCGAATCCCGCGTTCGGCAATTGGAACCTCTTGGGTGACTGATATACGGTATATATCAGTCTCAAAATAAGACAAACAACCTCTCTGAATAACAAAATGATGATGGTATGATAGCTGGGTCTGGAAGCACAAGGCCCTTTGTAAAACTACAACTCCTACTATTTATTAGCATTGAGAAAGAGCATTCCTAGCAGACCTGGAGGGCCCAAGTTTGCCCATGCCTGGTATAGTTAGATGCTTCATCCAATGCTCAAACCTTACACTATACTGTTTTGATGTAGGATCTTTATTATTCTTTCCTGAGCCCATCAACCATTTTTTTTTTGTTGTTTTGCTGTTGTTTTTGGAATGGGCCCATCGTGGACTATGGAAGATGCTATAGTCTTGTCCTCCACCATCAAATTGTCGCAACTCGTACTTTCTTCCTTTTTTATTGTCTGTGTTGATTATTTAAGTGAGAGGATCCTGACCCCTAACACAAATATTTGAAAATCTAAGATTAATGTTCATTCTGGTAGTCTTATAAAACACTTTTTTCTTATATTAATAACTAGCCTACCTGTGGATGCCCGGGTTTGGGATTTTGTAAGGATAAACATTAGTAAAAGGAAATTGAGCCTAGTCATGTCCGTCTCTTGGGGGGGGGGGGTGATGCTCATCTCCATTTCTAAGTTGAAGAGCCGGCATTGTCCGTAGACGCCTCCAAGGTCATGTGGCCGGCATGACTGCATGAAGCGCCATTACCTTCTCACCGAAGCGGTACCTATTGATCTACTCAATCTTGATCTCACATTTGCATGTTTTCATACTGCTAGGTTGGCAGAAGCTGGGCTAACAGTGGGGATCACCCTGCTCCCTGGATTTGAACTGCCAACCTTTTGGTCAGCAAGTTCAGCAGCTCAGTGGTTTAACCCACTGCAATACCGGGGGCTTCATTAAAAGTAGTCATTGTTTGGTTTTTATTTTATGAATAGACCCATTAGAAAATGCGGGTGAAGTACAACTCTCATCATCCTGGGCCAACTCCCTCCCAAAAACCATCATAGAATCAAAGCGTTGGAAGAGACCTCGTGGGCCATCCAGTCCAACCCGCTGCCAAGAAGCAGGAATATTGCATTCAAATCACCCAGATGGCCATCTAGCCTCTGTTTACTTAAAGTTGGCCATGTTGGGTATGGGTGTCAAGAGTGGTCTGGATTCATCATCAGTTGGGTTCACAGCGCTCTTTGTTTATGGGTGAACTATAACTCCCAGCATCCAAGGGCAATTCCCTCTAAATCCCACCAGCGCTTAAAGCTGACCATGCTGGGTGCGTGTGCCAAGTGTAGTCCAGATCCCTCGTCGATTGGATTCAAAGTGCTCTTTGATTGTGTGTGATCTACAACTCCCAACACCCAGGGTCAATTTCCCCCAACCTATCTCTAGTGTTTTCTGTTGGTCATGATGGGTCTGTATGCCAAGTCTGTTCCAGATCCATAGTTGATTGGGTTCACAGTGCTCTCTACAAGTGGGAGCCATCCTGGAATATACATACAAACATACACACATATATACATACATATTTGACTTTTATTTATATAGATATACATATGCATTCTAGATAGATAGATAGATAGATAGATAGATAGATAGATAGATAGATAGATAAATAGGCCAATAATCAGCAGTAAAATACACTTGATGCTGTCAAGGTGATGCATGCAATATGCCAGCAAATATGGAAAACACAAGAATGGCCATCAGGCTGGAAAAAAAATCAACTTATATCTCCATACCAAAAAAAGGGAAATGCTAAAGACTGCTCCAACTTCCGTACAGTGGCCCTTATTTCTCATGCCAGTAAGGTAATACTCAGGATCCTGCAAGGAAGACTCCAGCAATACATGGAGAGAGAGATGCCAGATGTTCAAGCTGGGTTTAGAAAAGGCAGAGGAACGAGAGACCAAATGGCCAAGATCTGCTGAGTAATGGAGAAAGGCAGGGAGTTTCAGAAAAAAACATCTATTTCTGTTTCATTGACTATTCTAAAGCCTTTGTTTGACTGTGTGGATCATAATAAATTGTGGCAAGTTCTTGGTGGTATGGGCATACCAAGCCACCTTGTTTTCCTCCTGAGGAATCTGTACAAGGACCAAGTAGCAACAGTAAGAACTGACCACAGAACAACAGACTGGTTCAAGATTGGGAAAGGCGTACAGCAGGGTTGGATACTATCACCCAACCTATTCAACTTGTATGCAGAACACATCATGCAATGTTCGGGGCCTGACGAATGCAAGGCTGGGGTTAAAATTGCTGGAAGAAACATTAACAACCTTACATATGCAGACGATACCACTTTAATGGCCAAAAGTTAGGAGGAGCCGAGGAGCCTTCTAACCAAGGGGAAAGAAGAAAGTGCAAAAGCTGGGTTGCAATTAAACATAAAAAACCAAGATTATGGCAGCAAGATTGATTGACAACTGGGAAATAGAGGGAGAAAACGTGGAGACTGACAGGATTTGTATTTCTAGGCGTGAAGATTACTGCAGACACAGACTGCAGCCAGGAAATCAGGAGACATTTACTTCTTGGGAGGAGAGTAATGACCAATCTCGATAAAATAGTGAAGAGTAGAGACATCACACTGGCAACAAAGATCTGCATAGTTAAAGCCATGGTATTCCCCCGTAGTCACCTACGGATGTGAGAGCTGGATCATAGGGAAGGCTGAGCGAAGGAGGATAGATGCTTTTCAACTGTAGTGTTGGAGGAAAATTCTCAGAGTGCCTTGGACCGCCAGAAGATCCAACCAGTCCATACTTCAGGAAATAATGCTCGACTGCTCATTGGAGGGAAGGATAGTAGAGGCCAAGATGAAGAACTTTGGCCACATCATGAGAAGAAAGGTTAGAGACAGAGGTGGTCCTAGGTAATTTTCAACAGTAAGCAAACAGTATTTTGGCGCCCCCCCCCAACCAATCATTGATATATATTTTCTGTTTGTCATGGGAGTTCTGTGTGCCATATTTGGTTCAATTCCATCATTGGTGGAGTTCAGAATGCTCTGATTTTAGGTGAACTATACATCCTAGTAACTACAACTCGCATATGTCAAGGTCTATTTTCCCCCAAGATCGGCTCAAGAGCGCCCCTGAGCAAAATCAACTATACTGCGAATGCTTACTTTGCGTAATGGGTTGAGCCGCCCCTGCTTAGAGAAGACAATGCTGCTGGGGGAAAATGGAAGGAAAAAGGAAGAGGGGCCGACCAAGGGCAAGATGGATGGATGGCATCCTTGAAGTGACTGGCTTGATCTTGAAGGAGCTGGGGGTGGTGACGGCCGACAGGGAGCTCTGGCGTGGGCTGGTCCATGAGGTCACAAAGAGTTGGAAATGACTGAACAAACAAACAACAACAAAATATACAATTAATAAAACATAAGATGAATAACTGAAGTACAATTTTAAAACAGTTAAAAAAACAGTAAAATAGTGAAGTTAAATCAGTATTAAATATGTAATTATAGTGATAAAATCCAATATAAAATGACAATAACTTTTAAAACGGAGACAACATCCTAATATGTCCTCCAGTCTCTTATAAATAGTCCTATGGCACCCTCCACCCAATTCAGATTGACATTGCAGGAATATGAGCTAACTTGCCCTGCCAAATCATCTTTCCTTCAAAATGGCCTCAGGGAGGATGGAATTACGCAAACTTCAGCAATGACTTCTTCCTGAGGAACGGCGTGAACAAGATTTCAACCCTTATATTATTATTTTAATTGTAAAACTAACTTGTATGAAGAAAATAACATGTCTGAAAAGCTAAAGGGAGCAGGCTGTGGAAGTAGCATATCAAACATCTTTAATAACATTCTGAGTCTGGTGCAAAGAGAAATTATTCATGCAGGAAAAATACCACCAACCCAACAGGAAACCCAGCAGTCCCTAAAGAAAAGCCAGTACAAATATCTCCCTTTCCCAGTCCCGGGCGCTCAAAAGAACAGGCAGTAATTCATTGTGGCCCACCATATTGACACAGGCGATTTCCCCTGCTATTTTTTGGATTTTGTCCCAGTTTAGACTCTTAAGAAGTGGGTAAATCTTGCATATCTCCAAGAAGGACTCAGCGTTATCTTGCAGAGTATTTATTTTATTTTATTTTAATCCTGCCTTTCACCCAACATAGAGACCGAAAATGGCTAACAATATGACCACAAAGCAAATTAAAGCAATTTAAATGAATTAAAATATAAATATAAAATTATAAAACAGCTAAACAATTTGTGTCATTAAAATAATTAAACGTTAAAATATTAAAATGGATTAAAACTCCACACACATCCCAAAATCACAATCACACCACGCTATATAGTAGCAAATCATTGTATTGTCTATTATCAATATAATTGAGGTATGTTCTCAATTTTGACTACGGACCTCATCATACGCTGGCTTTTACATGTTTCTAAGCACTTTAAAGATAGAGACCCGTGGAGCCCATCAAATGACGCAGGAATACTTCCATCGGTTTCCCTTGCAATTCCGTTTTTAGTGTTTAGGAATGGAGGGGTTTTGAAGTCAAGTAAGTGAATCCAGCAACTCTCTATTCACATAGAAACTACAAAAGGTGGGTATTTTAAGGTGGGATAGGAACTGTCTTTTTTCTCCATTTTTGGACCATTTTCTGACATGAAAGTGTGGGCATTCATGTGTGAGGTCTTTAATTGTGCTTCAATGCTTCTTTTGTCGCCATTACTCCCTTC